CCGCGAGCTACAGCTCGCAGTATACTGAGACGCCGCAGCCGGAGCGGATCCCGACGTAGATGACGGGATCCGCCCAGCTGCGTGAGTGACAGCTGGCTCTGCCTATCTAGAGGCGGAGCCAGCTGTACCCGCCCCCTCCCCCGTCCGTTCCGCCAGTCAGCGCTGGCAGATCGGAGCGGGGAGAGGGGAATCCAGCCCCTCCCCCTGTCACAGCAGAGAGCCGTGACAGGATTGAGAGGTGAGCGAACGTGGTATGTGTTCGCTCACCTCCCGATCTACTGAGCCGACCTGTGACAGTCTCATTGTCACAGGTCGGCTAGAACTATGAGGTGAGTGGAAATCACTCATCTCATAGTTCTCCTTTAACATTCATTTTGTGGAGTGAACAGCCTATACTTCTTCAGTGAATTAACCTCTGTGGCTCAAAGTATTTAAGCTACTGGACAGGTACAATAGCCAGACAAATAGCATTTATTAGCCTGCACATATCTCTCAGCACAGGTTTATCATGTATGGTTAGCTCAACACCTATAGAATATTTATAGGACTTCTGCACTATATTAGAATTATCCTGTTAATTCTATTTACCAAGCAAACCTTTCTCAGCTTCATGTCCAGAAAAATATTTAGTTTCATTGTTTGCCCAGAGCCATTTCACTTGTTCTAAAAGTTATGTATCAGCTTTCTCCATGATAATCCCTGGCTGCTTTATTTTTAGACGATCTGTTGCTATAACGATCAGGGCAGCTGTTCATTACCATAGGAACCCACGCTTTTTCTTTTATTTGACAGATCGCTATTTAAGCACACATTGGCTTAGCAGTTCAACGGTGAAAACTTCTTGAATGGAATGATGGACAACCTCTTGTTTAAAAGCCAACCATAACCTGAGAGATCTCTCACCGAATACAGCTGGAGGGTGAGGGACCTGCCAGTATCTGCCACAACTCCTGAATTGCCAAACCCGCCTTGGCTTTTCATTTCTACCTCAGAAGAAATGTAACTCTTACAGATGTGCAATGAAAGGAGTGTATACTTTTTCTATGGGAAAAAAATGATTCTGGGAAATGTTCAGGAAATAAAGAGAACTTTCATTAAACAGTTTGTACACTCTTGCGAATCCCAATTATTGAAAATGGTTTCTTCGTGTGGTTGCCGAGTGGCACAGAGTCAAAAAATCATTAAGATATCCAGTAATTGTACATTCCCTCCTGTTGTAGGTTTACAAGTAGAAAAAAAAAAAACAATGGCTGACCGAAAAGACAGGGGCGAGAGCAACTGTCTTTTTACATGCATTTTTGGAGCTTGAACATTCTGAGGGGAATTTATCAAAACTTGAGCAGCCATGCATGGCAACCAATCAGTTTCTCTTTTTCATTTTCAAATCTTAACTGAACAAACTGAAGAGAGAAGCCGATTGGCTGCCATGGGCAACTACTCACGATTCTGTCTGCTCCAGTTTGGATAAATTCCCCCCACTAAATTTAAGCAAATGCTTTCAGATTTAACTGCCATGGTTGAAAACTCACTCACTATCCCCCCGCCCTTCTTCAGTAACCAGGAACTCCCTTCACATCAGGTAACAGCAACAGGAGCTGCGGTTACACTACTCAAACCCAGAAACTAATGGAACTGATTGTCCAACTTCAAAGCACCTAACCAACCAACCATGAAGCCTCTATCCCTTCCAAGTTACTTTTAGGAGGTCACATCCCAAAGTTTTCTACTCAGCCCACCAACCAGGAGAGGCCTTAGCACACACTAGAAAGCTTTAAATCACAATGCAAATTTGAATGCTGTTCTGTACAACCAAACCCATTTTTGGACCCTGTCTAGTATAGACGTATTCCATACACTATTGCATTGTGTAATGTCTTCAAAGTTGCCCGTCAATTTTTTACATGATTGCTGGGAGGGAGACCAGAACAAATAGGATATGGTTCGGGTACCAGTCCAGGCCTGCACCTGAAGCCAATGTTTCATTTTGTTTTGAATAGATTGGGAAATGGTTAGAACCTCTGTCAGGGCTATAATACTTTATGTATTCCAGTTAACCCTTCTCTCTGTCACTAGTAACTGGGCGCAACATGTAAGGGCTAAACTTCTCAACATAGGGGTCTATTCTCGAAGCAGCCAAAGGATCTAGCCGTAGCTTTGGCTGATCACTATAGTCCGTACAGCTCCCGAAGTCGGCCGGGCGGCTCAGTGGAGCCGAAGGCATATGCTTCGCTTCAACTGAGCCGAGGTGAAAGCCGAAGCTGGCTAGGCAGACAACCTGCTTCTGACAGCTGGGCGGAGCCAGCGGTAATCTTACGGCCGGCTCCGGCCACTAGCAGAGAGATCAGCGTCTCTGGTTACCAGCTAACCAGGGACACTGATCTCCAGACAGCCTAACTCTCCCGGACGCTCCGGGAGTCTCCCACTCCCGGCCGCCCAGGAGAGAAACACTGCTTTTTCTTTTTTATTCTGACACGGAGCTATTGGTTGGCGTCAGAATAAAAAAAAATAATAATAATTTTCACCATAGGAATGCCTTGCTAGATTCCTATTGGCTATTTTAATTTTCAATAGTCAATAGCAAACTAGCTATAAAACCCGCCCACTGCTGCAGTTCTCCATCAGGTCCCCACTAGTGATTGACACAACAATCGTTTTTTATTTATTTTTTTGTACTTTTTAAACAATTTTTCTGTTCTGCTCGGTCCCACAGTGGGACAGAATAGAACAGCCGAGCCGAATGCCACTCAGCAGCATTCGGCTATTCACTCACTGCTGTTCGGCATCTATAAGAATAGACCGAACGGCAGCACGTAGCCTGCCGGAGGTTCGGCTTAGCCGATCCAGATGTTGGATCGGCTGAGTCAAAGTCCTTCTGCACTTCGGGTCAGCCGAACATGCTGAGCATGTTCGGCCGACCCGAAGCCACGCGATGTACGGCTGATTTCAGCCGATATACGGCTGAAATCAGCCGTACCAGCCTGAAGTGAATAGCCGAACAGTGTTCAGCTCACTTCGCTTCAGGTCGCTCATTCACTCGGCTGCCTACGGCAGCTTAGTGAATAGACCCCACAGTCACAGACAAGAATAAAAACTTTTACAATGTAGTTTGGAGGCACTGAAACTGGTTTAGTTCCTTATTATAAAAATAGGTCCATACTATAGGTCAGAGTTAAATCAACCTTGTATTAATCCACAAGAGTCCAACATTCAAATCAAACCATCAGCTTAAGCCCAGATAAGGGGGAAACTTTTTAGTCCCCTAAAGAATTCCGATTGTTGTAAATCTTGTTCTTCCTGTTTCCCGTACTCCTTACAGGAAAACTTTACAGGAGGTTTCACCCTTAACCACTTAACCCAAAAAAAGTTTGGGATAGAGTTGGGGTTTAAAAGGTCCACTCAAGGGCTCATTTATAATGAAGAGTGGATATCACTATGTACTCTTCGTTATACTCAGAACTCAGAAGTACCCACTGTATACCACACCCTGACCATTCATAAAATTTGGACCCTTGTATGCAACCTATAAAATCCTATGTATTTCTCTCTTCTTGTTCTGGAGGAGGAGAGCCGGTTATGTGACTTTAACGGGTCAGGTGCACTGCTGCATTTTTAAACAGACCACTCAAAGTTACACAGAAAGTCTTATTCTATCCTTGAAATCTTCATAATTACTATACAGATCATTGAAGAACAATAGAGGCTTTCAGTAATATTTTAACTAAAATGTATCCGAACATCTATGGAATAAAAATCCTTTGGCAGGTAACCACTTAAGATGGTAAAATGTTAACAAAATTAATGGAATGTAATTAATAGCTTAAAGGCTAGAGCTCAACGAAGCGAAGAAAGCAGGTGAAATATGATCTCCCGAGTGACACAGAACTTCATCAAACAAACAAGATAAATATTCCCCTATGTTATTGCAAAGTCTTCTTAACTCCAACGTTATCCTTCAGGGTTTTCTCACAATACAACTCTACATTGCCCCATGCTCGCTTTGTTATGAAAAAAGTTTAAATTGTTCATACAATAGTCTAATTCACAGGCGACATAAGCAATTGCCTACTTTTATTCCAATGAAAACCATCTTTAAAAAGAGAACTATGGGGTAACCTTTTTATCCCATAGTTCTCTTAAGGGTCACGGGAGGACATATACTAGCGTCCTCCCGTGACCCAAAGCTCAGTATATAGCGAGCTATTGCTCACTATATACTGAGAGCGCCGCAGCCAGGACGGATTCCAACAATACTGTTGAGATCCACCCAGCTGCGTGACAGCTGGCTCTGCCTATCTAGAGGCAGAGCCAGCTGTGCCTGCCCACTCCCCCGTCCGTTCCTCCAGTCAGCGCTGGGGTATCGGAGAGGGGAGGGGGGAATCCCTGCAGGGAGCGGTGACTGACAGTCACTGCTCTCTGCAGGGAGATAATCGGAAAGTGAGCGAGTGACAGAGTGCGTTCACTCACTTCCTGATCTACAGAGCCGACGTGTGACAGTTTCAGTGTCACAGGTCGGCTAGAACTATGAGGATGAGTTAAAATCACTCACCTCATAGTTCTCCTTTAAACCTGAAATGCAGGCACTAAGGATTTGTAATTCTGTCCAGACTGTTCTACGATTTACACAAGCCTGCCAGACAAAACAGTCAGATCAGTCACTCTAGCATTCTCTACTGCAGTTAAAGCTGAACTGAATGCCACTGTGCTAAAAATAACCATTTTCACTTGCAACTACTAGCATAAGTACGCAAATCTTGTAATAACTGCTTCTGTCCTCTACTGCACAGCAACACTTGGTCAGGAAGAAGGACAGGCAGTGCAAACAGCCAATCAGGCTTTGCTGCATGCACAAGAAAGCAGAGTTTATAATTAATCAGTGTGTTGTTGCTCCTTCACTGTTCAAATCAGCAGGCTGGGGGTGTAAAGGTGACCCCACTGTATTCTATAACATAACAAGAAATTGGCATTTATAGTGCTCAAGTGTTTTCTTCATGCGCTCATACCTTTTCTGTGTCGATGCCCTTTGACATGGACCACGTTGATACAATATAATCCATGACCCTCTCACTGAGGCCTTTGGGGACCTGATAAAGCTTCAGGAAGTCACGTACATTGTTCAGCACCTCGTGGTAGCGGTTGGTGTTGGCATACATTTGCTGGAAAATGGTGGTCACATTTCCAAAAATAGTTGCATATAGGAGTGCTGCAAAAAGGAAAAAGCAAAACAACTTAAAAAAACCCCAATATAAATGAAAAGTAGTGAGAATGCCATAAATGCAAGTGAAATGACCCTGTTATGACAAAAGTACAGGAGCTGCCATTGCTGACCTCCTCCAAAAATGCTTGTTGTCTGGTTGTCTGACACCTGTACCCACAGACTTGGAACAAGCATGTTATAACCTAACTGTCCATCCTTGATTACCAAAATAGATTTAAAGTGGATCTTTCCCCCCAAAGATCTGCATGCTTAACAATAAAGATCATAACTATTTTGTACAAATCCTGTTTCAGAAAACGTACACTTCTCATTCGTTACTTCTCCCTCCCCTGAAGTACTGGTGACATAGCCCTGGTCAGCTGCCACCTGGGAAGGACACATCAATAGTTCCCATCAGGTAGCTCTCACAAATAAACTGCCAGATCTTGCAAGGTCTCAGAAAAAAAAACTTCCTTGTTTGCATGTTGTTCTGGCTTCAGCAATGTCTCAGTAGCGTAATCGCAAACAGTGCAAAATCACATACAAGGCATGCAGAAGATCTGATGAGATCAGATGTAGACTGGAAAAAGGCGAAGAAGCCAGCCACTCATGATGTCTAAGCAAGATGGCTATGCAGGTTTGGGGGAGGAAGAGAAGAGACGCATTAGCATGTGGCAATATAAAGATATAAAGGCAGTTTAAAAAACTGGGGGGGGATCTACTTTGAGGTCTGGTCTCACTCAAGTTTCTCAACACCAAACTCATCAAGTCATGTCTTAATGGAGATGGTTTCCAGTCATGCTGGAACAAAAAATGGCCTCTCTCAAATTGTTGCCACAAGGATGGAAGTGCACAATGGTCTATAATGTCTTTGTAAGTTGTAGCATTTAAACTAACCTTCACTGGAAATTCCTGAACTAAATTTCTTTTTTGGGGGGAGGGGAGGGTCCACATACTTTTAGCCACATAGTGTAGATGTGATGGTCAGGTGTCTGCAAACCTTCGACCACATAGTGTACCATCATATGTTTTATCTCACTTGTTATACAGTGGGTTGCAAAAGTATTCACCACCTTGGCATTTTTCCTATTTTGTTGCATTACCACCTGGAATTAAAATGGATTTTTATTTGGGTTACACATACAGGTGAAACTCGAATAATTAGAATAGCGTGCAAAGTTCATTTATTTCACTAATGCAACTTAAAAGGTGAAACTAATATATGAGATAGACTCATTACATGCAAAGCAAGATAATTCAAGCCGTCATTTGTCATAATTGTGATGATTATGGCTTACAGCTCATGAAAACCCCAAGAAACCCAAATCCACAACCTCAAAAAAGTAGATTATTACATGCAATCAATAAAACAAGGATTGTACAGAGAACAATATCGGACCTCTGAAAAGTACCAGCATGCATATGTACTCAGTACTTGGTTTGGGCCCCTTTTGCAGAACTTACTGCAATTACTTTTGCACGATATTCTAATTATTCGAGTTTCACCTGTACTGTAATGGGGGAATTTATCAAGACTGGAGCAGACAAAATCTGGAGTAGTTGCCTATGGCAACCAATCAGCTTCTCTCTTCAGTTTCTTCAGTTAAGCTTTGAAAATGAAAGGTGGATGCTGATTGGTTGCCATGCACATCTGCTCCAGATTTTGTCTGCTCCAGTTTTGATAAAGTCCCCTCAATGGGTATAAACCAAATAGTCCAAAAAGGTGAAGTTAAATCAAGAAAATAACTTGTTCTTAAAATTATAAAACATAAAAAATGGAAAAGTGATGCGAGCATATGTATTCACTCCCTTTGCTATGAAGCCCCCTACATAAGATCTGGTGCAACCAATTACTTTTAGAAGTCACATAATTAGTTAATTAATTAAGTAATTAGTTAAGTAGAAGTACAGATCAGGGTTGGGTTATAACAAATTATCCAAACCTTTGAACATCCCATGAATCACCATTAAATCCATTATTAAAAAATGGAAAGAATATGGCACCAGTGGCGTCACAAGGGGAGGTGTGGGGGGTGCGGCCCGCACCCGGGTAACACCATTGGAGGGGTGACACCAAAATGACTCACAGTCATTTTGGTGTCACCCCCCTCAGAAAAGTCGGGCGCTCGGTCATGGACCGAACGCCCGACAGTATCAGGAGGAGACCCGGCGGCATACCTTATCCCGCCGGGTGACTGTCCCCTCCTCTCTCTGCCGGCGTCCATCACCAAGATGGGCGCCGGTAGGTATCAGAGTACTGCATGCGCAGTGACGTCTCGGCGGCGTGACACTTGGTTACCGCTGCTCCGGGTGTCACCCAGCCTCGGGACGCCCCTGTATGGCACCACAACAAATCTGCCAAGAGAGGGCCACCCACCAAAACTCATGGACCAGGCAAGGAGGGCATTAATCAGAGAGGCAACAAAGAGATCAAAGATAACCCTGATGGTGCTCCACAGCAGAGATTGAAGTATCTGTCCATAGGACCACTTTAAGCCGTACACTCCACAGAGCTGGCCTTCATGGAGGAGTGGCCATAAAAAAGCCGTTGCTTACAAAAACAAATAAGCAAACACGTTTGCTGTTTGCCAAAATGCATGTGTGAGATTCCCAAAGCTATGGAAGAAGGTGCTCTGGTCAGATGAGACTAAAATTTAGCTTAAAGGAGAACTATGAGATGAGTGATTTCCACTCACCTCATAGTTCTAAGCCGACCTGTGACAATGAGACTGTCACAGGTCGGCTCAGTAGATCGGGAGGTGAGGGAACACATACCGGGTTCCCTCACCTCTCGATCCTGTCACGGCTCTCTGCTCTCTGCCGTGACAGGGGGAGGGGCTGGATTCCCCTCTCCCCGCTCTGATCTGCCAGCGCTGACTGTTGGAACGGACGGGAGAGGGGGCGGGTACAGCTGGCTCTTCCTCTAGATAGGCAGAGCCAGCTGTCACTCACGCAGCTGGGCGGATCCCGTCATCTACGTCGGGATCCGCTCCAGGTGCGGCGTCTCAGTATACCACGTGCTGTAGCTCGCGGTATACTGAGCTTAGGGTAACGGGAGGACGCTAGTTTGTGTCCTCCCGTTACCCTAAGGAGAACTATGGGGAAAAACACTGGCCCCATGGTTCTCCTTTAATGCTTAAAGAAAAACGCTATGTCCGGGCACAAAGCCAAGACCTCTCATGGGGGTGAATAGTTATGCACGCCACTGAAGATTGTGTTTGCTTTTGCAGCTGCCGCTTAACATTAGAATGTGTTGCTTGCCTTCCTGTTAAACAATTTTCCAATTTTCTTCTTAATCTCTGCTTTACACTACTGTATTCCCTTTAATATATGGGACTAGTGCTATTCTCCCAGCCTAGCTGCAGCATTAAATTAAATTTGCCGTTTTGTAAACTGAGACCCTACTGGCTGCTGCATACATCATTATTGCACCTTACACTGCCTAACTGCATTAGATGGTATGAAAACGTTGCTAATTTGAAAAAACCTGAAGCTCTGACAGCTCATGATAGCTTGTAGTTTTTGACAGCCGCTGTAATTTACAGCATATCTCACAGGTCCAGGAATATATATGGCGTTTCTTGGGCACTTTGTCTCTTGCTAGGTCAACATTCCATCAATAATGCATGAAGCTATTTCTGAATCTCCACAGATACAGTCACAGGGACCTGGAAGCATAACTCTCGCCTGAATGTTGTTTTCCTTACGAAAAACTCACATTTATCGAGATAGCTATTGGCAAGTGTAGTCAAATATATAGTAAATCACTCTGAAAGTCACAAGTCAGGCTCGGCTTTTCCGCGTTAATATGTGATGTGAAAATTGGGAAGGGTGTGGGACGCCAGATGAAAGGGGTGCCGAGAACTGGTTACTGTAGCAAGGAGACATGATGTATGGTTCTGTTCATAAGGTTCAATTTGTGGATAACTTTGGAGATTAATGTTCTCTGCTCACTCCTCCAGGAATGAAAGATTGCAGACACTATCCACTATTCCTAATTGACCCTTACTTCAGGTCTGTACTGCATACAGAAAATACGCATTCAGCTATCTTCCCTTCCCACTCTGCAGAAAATAATTTATACTCTTCATATATAGATCTCGCGGTTTCTCTCCCAATCTCTGCAAGTGTGCAGAATATTAAAAGAAACAAGGCAATCAGCTGATTCATTTATTGCAGTAACCAAATATTAACACTATGTAATTAAAGTATACCTGGTCAATTCAAACTGAGCAAATGATAACAAAACAATGTGTAAAGCAGAGGTCATCTATAGTGTAAAACTACATGTTAAAACAATCAGCGAATTTAAAGATATAGGCAGCTGGAATATATATTAAAATGTTGACTTTTTCCCTTAAAGGTCAAGAATCATCCTGTCCTCTTTTGCCTGCCGAATTGTTCTGTTGGTTCTTTATGATGATGGGCAGCATCACTGACCAATAGGGAGGGCTCAGGCAACGGTGCTGGCAGGGCCAAGCTGGACCTTTAGGCCCCATTTACACTATTGTGCTACAGTAATATGCGTTGGTGGGATGCGGTGACATTATTTCTGAATGGCACACAATCACACCTTCTCAACGCATGTGTGTTGCCATGCGCTCCCAAAAATGTGCCTTTCTTGGTGTGCTTTGGGTCTTTAGGAGAAACATTCAAATGAATAGGCTTGCCTTAATGAAACACATGTTGACATGCAGCATATTGTGTCATTTGCATGAGCTAATTCAGTGCAACATTGAGAACAGGGCCTTACAAGAAAAAGCTGAGGTTTGCATATAACGGCTGCTAGCAATATCTCGGGATTCACTGATTGATTTGATATACTCTTTTGATGCATTCGCTTTTGATTCCAAGCTCAGGTTGATTTGCCCAGGTATTAATATGTTTACATTAAATGGGACTATTTAAAAGATCATAAAGTGGTACCTGCTTGGTATTTACAACATATGTACTCCTATTTGAAGGGTCAGCATTTCTCAAATGTAATGTGCATACTAGGCTGGGCC